CTTGAATATATCCCACCTGAATTTAGAGAGCATCCGAAGAACAGATTTGATACATTAAACACTAAAGACTGAAGACCAGAAGAGTTGTGTGATGACATCAAAAATATCATACATGAAGAAAGCAAGAAGTCATTAAAAAGACAAGAAAGAATTAAAAGGTCAAAATGGATGTTAGAAGAGACACTGAAACTTGCTCTCCATTATAGTGATGCTAAAGCAAATGGAGCTCTGGTAGCGTAGTGATTATAACTCAGCAATTCGAAACTACCAGCTGTTCCATGGGAGAAAGATGATGCTTTCTGCTCCCATAAAGATTTATAGCCTCAGAAATCCTGTACAGGGTCGCTATGAGTTGGAATAGACTCCACGGCACATAACAACAACAATAACAAAGCAAATGGAAGAAATGAGGAGGTACAAGATATGAACAGAAAATTTCAAATATCAGCTCGATAAAATGTGCAAAGATCTAGAATCAGAATACCCAAAAAAAAAAACATGCTCAGCATTTCTCAAGCTGGGGGAACTGAAGAAAAAATTTAAGCTTCGACTTTCATTATTGAAAGATTCTCTAGGCAAATCATTGAATGTTGCAGAAAGCATCAAGAGAAGATGGAAGGAATATACAGAGTCACTGTACCAAAAGGAAATGGTTACTGTTCAACTGTTTCAGGAGTTAGCATATGATCAAAAGCCAATGATACTGCAGGAGGAAGTCCAGGGTGCATTGAAGGAATTGGCAAAGAACAAGGTACCAGGAATTGATGGAATAAAAATTGAAATCTTTCAAGAAAGTGAGGCGGCACAGGAGGCACTCACTCATCTCTACCAAGAAATTTGGGAGACAACTATCTGGCCAACTGATTAGAAGAGATCCATATTTGTGCCCATTCCAAAGGGAGGTGACCCAATGGAATGTGGAAATCATCGGACAACACCATTGATATCCCACGAGAGTCAAGTTTTGCTAATGGTAATATAGAAATGGCTACAATCATACATTGACAGAGAACTTCCAGAGGCTCAAGACAGATTCAGAGAGGCTGTGGAATGAGGGATATCATTGCTGATGTCCAATGGTTCTTAGCTGAAAGCAGAGACTATCATGAAAAATTTTACCTGTGCTTTATTGACTATGCAAAGGCTTTTCATTGTGTGGATTATGACAAGCAATGGACAATATTGTGAGGATATGACTATTTCTGAACACTTAATTGTGCTCATGAGAAATCTGTACATGGACCTGGAGGCAGTTGTTCGAATAGAACACAGGAACACTGAATGGTTTAAAAATAAGAAAGGTGTGCGACAAGGTTGTATTCTTTCACCATATTTATTCAACCTGTATGCCAAGCAAATAATCTGAGAAGCTGGGTTCTATGAAGAAAAACATGGCATCAGGATTGGAGGAAGACTCAT